GACAATGGAAATCCCATGTGGTTCCTTCACGAGATTTCGCATTGCGTACTACCAATGAAAAACAATCATAAACTGACCTCAGGTCCTGTTTGATAGGCCAATATATCTGATATGCCAAAAAATTATATCTAAATCGGTCGAAATTGTACTTCGTATCACAAAAACAATATCTATTCTCTCTAAATTTAGGGTTTTAAAAGTGATATTGTACAACATTCTTTTAAATTAGAATATAACTGTACCACCTACTGTAGAATATTTCAGAAAGAAAATCAACTTCGACTAGATATTTTAGTTCAAAAATGACGCAATAGCATTAACTGACCAATAAGAAATTTATTTACATAACAGTATAAATTAGATTTTTTAATTTTTCTAGTTATTGGATAAACTTCTACTTCTGAAAAATACCTTAAAATATGGATCCTTTTTTTACTGCTACCGGCAATTTCAATGTCTCCGATGTTTTTTCGATTGGAGATCCAACTCTTCCTTGGGATTTTACAACAATCGAGGACAATATAGAGGCCCAAAAACTCTTAGTTGCCGCCATAGCACATAATCAACAGTATAGATTCGACGACGATCAAAAGCGAAAGTTGGAGATGTTAGAGGACATTGCCCAACAAACTCCTTCCAAGGCTAATCGTAAGTACTTATCTCTTTACTTTTTTGCTAACGTTCATTGTGTTAACGCATAAAAGGAACTGATATTCAAAACAGTGGCAAAATTTTACATATTTAAATTAAATGTATTTTTGTTTTATTTTGTTAATATTCAGACAATCTTAATATTGCATCTGTTCCACATCCGGAACTGTCGGCTGAAAGTGAGTAGGCGAATAACTCTTATTTTATACGTTATATGATCCAATTTAGAATACTTCTCTTGATATATTAATGTACAGCCGGAAGCGTTCAATCAGTTTCAGGAAATGGACAATCAGAGCAGCCTAGCGAACCACAGAAAAAAAAGCCAGGAAGAAAACCATTAACCAACACACCTAGTTCTGTATGTATTTCATTATCTTTTCAAAATTATCGAAAAAATTTCAAGTGCAGATGCATTATCGTTTGGTAATTTCTGTAGAAACGTAAAGCTCAAAATCGGGCGGCTCAACGTGCATTCCGAGAACGTAAGGAACGTTATGTCAAAGAACTTGAGACTAAGATTGAAGAACTTGAATCCTTATCAGCAAAAAGTGCACAAGAAAATCAAAAATTAAAGACGCTTGT